ACGTCGCTCCTGATATCATGATCAGTACTCATCGCGGAGAGTAGAGATGTCTTCCCCTTCTATAGTCCTAAGCAAATCATGAGACCTTGTATCATACATACAGTCTAGATTTGTCATGTACATACTCCATAGTGTTTCACGTTATCGCTTTGAATCGTAAGTCAAGCCGTGGAGAGATAGTCAGTGCCCGGTATGTACTATGGCTCAACTCTTTACGACTGACCACTGTTTGACACTTCAGGATAGTGAAGTACTGACAACATCTACTGTAGGTTTATGTAAGTATCTACCAGTCAACTTGCATCGTTTTTCCTTTTTTGGGGGGGGTTCTTTTCCTTTCTTCGCCATTCCCCTTGGCCGTTTTCTCTCCTCTTGAGTTCGTCGCGAGACTGATAGACCCTTTTCTAAAGTTCTGTCACTTTCGTATAGCTAATTAAAAGACGGCACATTTATTACCTTTAACAGTTACTATGACAGGTAAACCAGAAGCTAGAGCCATATGTGGATCTTTCCCCGTCATGCGTGATAATGCCTGAACATTGAACAGTCCAACCTAGATAGACAGAAAAGTATTCATAACAGAATTATGTCTTTGAGCCTGAAATTAGATTCTTCTTTGTATCTTCCTTTTTTTTTCGTTGATATTAGAATTATTCAACTTCTATCAAAATCATGACCCATGGATAGTTCCATCCACACTGCGCTACTTACATCCACTCTAGCCACTCAGTCCCGTACTGATTCACTAACAAGGGATCTAGAAGCAGTTCCAAGCATCTGTATCTAGAATTGGCACAAAGGAGGGGCGCAGTTTCTCTCTCTGTCTCTTTTATTATAATAATAATTATTATTTTCTAATTATATTTTCTTTTTCTGATTCTTTGGGAGGAGAACCCACTGGCGTACATTTAGTTCAAGCCTTCAAAGGGCACACCAGAAGAGAATAGGAATAGGACCTGATAATATTAATGGCAAACCCCGGTCTCCTCTCGTCCCAGCATAGTGGAACAAAGACAGCGCCCAGAGCAATTTTGGTTTGATTTTCCCAGCAGGTGCAACACCGCCATTGACTCAGGGCCTCAGCCTACTGGAGTGCAATGCACCAGCAAGGAAGGAGTTCTTGACTGACTGATGTCTGTCTGTCTGGCCCTCCGGGTCTGCAATAATGATGCATGGAAGAACCATAATACAATCCGCTATTACCCACTGATCAGACATTAAAATATTAAAAAAGATCGACGGGGCTCTTGAGATTCACCATCTCGTTCACATCCCCATACCCTGATCAATCAGTCTGTCAATCAATCAGTCCTCACTTCCAATTGATCCCTCCTTCCATCCTGTTTGCTGAATATCTTTCATAAAACATCCTTCATACCCGTCCTCTATCCTTCTTCTTCTTCTCTTTTTCTTGGTCCCATCTATCCCGCCTACGTCCACTCTTGAGCGCTGATTTCCAGTGGTACTCTTCTACCGCTCCGTCTCCTTCTGGTACCCGTCTCCAAACGACAGTGGATAACGCTGGCTTGTACAGCGTTCCATCTTCTCGTCGGGGTCTCTGTTGCTGTGGGGCATCAATTCACTGGAGCCTCAAATGCTCAACTTGCCTCTCAAGCGTCCTCTACCTAATCATAAAGTTCTTGTCATTCCATTCACCTTCTCAGGTGTCTCTCTCCGGTTTGCCAGATTGTTTCCCCGGCTTGTCATCACAATCCGACTGTCTCAGCCTTCGCACAAGAGTCAGAAAGGAGAAATTTCCGGATCTCCTTTCAAGCATCTGATCTGCTGACGGAAGTCCTACAACCACTCCCGCTGCGTCCTAAAGACGCATATTTCCACTATCGCGCGACCTTTCCTCCCAACATCTCTATAACATCGTCACCTCTGTTCTGCGACCCCGATGGCCGCTGCCGCTGCGACTGCGAAATTCATCCAACCTCCTTCTCCCCCTCAGTCGACAGATGGAGATCCCGCTTCTGAACAGTGCAGCATGCTCAGCTCGCTATATTGCTCCCAGAACCCCTTTGTCACGTCTAGCTTACCCTGCAGCGCTGAAGCTTCATACAGCGAGCTTAAGCCAGAAGCGATGGTGAGTTGGAAGCCTTTTCCAGCTTGTTGGTTACCCGCTGACTGTTAATCAGACCTATGGCTCTTCGTCGTCACCGCGATATGTCTCCCAACACGAGTACCCAACACCTCTACCACTTCAGCATTCGGTAGGGTGCCCTCTCCCGTTCTCAATGACACGTTTAGCTAGCCAAGCATGTGCTAACGAACGGCAGATGCTACCCTCAGATATTCAGATCAATACTCCGCCTCCTGCCGCGGACGATGGAGTTGTTCCTAGCAGATTAGAAGCGACTCCTCCTCGCTGGCCATCTTCATCAGCCTTGAAGCTTTCTCCAGGGAAAGTAAGAGTGGTTAAATCCCCCAGAATTAGGCGCAGAACCAAGAAGGCGAGCAATCGGGAATCGAAACCTAAGCTACCTGGTCCCTTAAGTGAAGTTACCAAGAATATGACACATGTTCCCCTCAGAGACATGGACAGCTGGGTTCAGCGGCCCAAGGAGGTGCGTCACGCGGAGGTTGCCAAAAAGAATGGCAAAGTCGCCAGACCCATGAACTCGTTCATGCTCTACCGGTCTGCATACGCCGAGCGGACCAAGGAGTGGTTTGCACAGAATAACCACCAAGTCGTTTCAGAAGTCGCAGGCGACAGCTGGCGCATCGAAACGCCAGAGATTCGCGAGAAGTACGAGCTTCTAGCGAACGTCGAAAAGGCCAACCATCTCAAAGCACATCCGGGGTACAAGTTCTCTCCATCGAAGGAAAAGAAGAAACGATCTGAAACGGATGACGACCAGCTGACCGTAGATGGTGGCGAGATGCGCTCTGGATCTAGCCCGGCGTTCCCCCAAGTTCGTGCCGTGGGCCTGTCCGAGGTCGACAGCAATGGCTGGGGCAGCCGCGACTCAACACCCTTCGATTTTCCCGAGCATGGGTTGCCCACAACGACGTATTACGGTTCTTCGTGGCAGACCAGTCATCCCAGCAAAGACATGCTGTCAGCTCCCAAGCCCTCTTCATACCTCCAGCAGCCAATACATCAGAACCTCATGGGCCCTCCCACTGAAGATCCTCGATTCAAGCATATTGGTCTTCAGGACATCCACTTCACCTCGTCGACGGCGCTGGCCGGGCTGCCTGGAGCCGCCCACCACGACCTTCTTCAGCCCCAGAACACCACTGGAACTGGGCCTGATGGGCAGCTGGATCCTCAGCTGCTGTCATTAAGCGACCACTCTAGTCAGCATCCGATGTACAACCACTCACACTATGCAATCTGGCAAGAAGTCCCGACGAGCAACTGCTACGTCCCTGTTCCCTCTCCGCTGCCATCCACATACCATGTCGGCGCCACCTATCATCAAGACATGCAGACTCTAGGAGAGAACCGGGATACTTGGGATTCTGCCAACAACGAAACCAGTTTTGATGCTTCCAATGGCGAATTCGAACACTGGATCAACTCTCATGCATCTGGATATCCCTAGTCGACAACGTGACATGAATCAAGGCAGCTTCCTTTTGTGTCCCTGTCTTTCTGCAACGAGACGATGAGCATCATTTCATGCTTACTGATTTGTGTTTTGTGATTTCTTTCTGTCATTGGGCCGGCCTTTTGTAATTTAGACGAAAACCTCAGGGTCGGAGTTGTACAGGCGCGGAGTCTAGTATGGTGGGACTGGGTGATACCCTGCTTTCTTCAGGTCTCGTGGTGCTCCTGTCTCTTTGGTGGTCTGTGCGACATCTTTCTTTGGTCTGTTGGAGTTGATCTTTTTCTGGGTGGTAATCTCCTTTGATATTCCGTGGAAATATCTCTGCTATTTATGTTGTTGGTATCTTGGACTTTGACACCATATTAGACTGAATGGCGCAAATCATTCTGTTCTGCTTGGCTCTCCTCTTCTGTGGGCATCTCCTTTGCTCTGCACTGCCACTACTCCTTGTCCAAGGATGACCAATCTTTCGATAGCCAGTATCTTCTCTGCCAAGGTTTGCTGGACCAGAAGGCTGTTGGTCCGTTGGATCGTGAACCAATTCCATGGATTGAACCCATAGTGCTCTCGGAAGTCAATCGGCAAGAAGTATCTCCTCTACTCAGATCCTCGATGGCTACCGAGCCCCTTGTTCGTAGCCAGATATGCACTAACAAGTCTACCTCATCAGGCCATTCAGTATGTTCTCCTTGCAATACTGAACATGCACAAGTCGTCAACGAGGCTGTTTGAACGAGGAATCGACTGGTGAACGATCGGCCGGTACACCAGGTCGGGTATTCCTTATGTTGAGGCTTTGAGTCAATGCATTCCGCCATTGATTCTCATGCAATATGCTTTTACTGAGCTTCCCTGCTTCGTTGTCTCCTCGATTGTGTGATGTAAGGCATATCCTCTCTGTGACGAGCCGATCATTCTTGGTCTCTCGGCAGATCGCTGATCTAAACCGGACATCTTCAAGAGATGCGCCAAGTGTAAATTCTACATGGATAATGGACGGTGCTGACAAGTCAGTCGGACCAGTCACAGGACAGCAGACATACACTGAGCAGGAAGAATATGACTCGGACCACCTAGTGACACTTACTTGTCCACTGTATGTAAATGCTCTCGCTGGACTCAGCTAAAGTTCCCGGATCATTCTAAGCTGTATAATCTAAAAGCCTCAGGCTACTCAACCCTTTCCGAGACAGCATCCAAATCAATTACCGACAATGAAGCTCGCAATCCTCGCAGCCTTGTCTACTCTCGCCTGCGCAACCTCTCAAAGCTATCTCGTTGGCGTAAGTGTCTTTGCCCTTGCCATGGATGATGGCTGACAAGGTAGTATGATTTCCTGAACTCTGGCCCCATCGACCCTAATCCCTTCTAGGGCCTCTCATACGGCGATCAATTCACAGTCGCTCGTCGCGCTCAAGTACCCCAACACTCTACAGATCCATGAAGAACCCAACGCTTTGGCCCTCGCTCCAAAGCTTCCTGGGATGTTCTTCGGTTCCGTCCACAACGCCCCGACGGCGGATACCTCGAGGCCAAGAAGATCTCCTTTGCCTGCGTGACAGATCGGAAAGGCAAAACGTGCGCGTTAACTGTACGGTCTTGTTCGAGGGCACGCAGAACAGCGATCTGGGGATTCCGAAGATCCAGACGGCGAAATACGCTAGCACGCCCCGGTTACAGAGAGTGGATTTTGAGCGATTTACGGATCTTAGGACGTTGGACTTTACAGTGACCCAGGCTGGGGAGGATGACAAGTTCGGATGTCACGTTGCTCTTGGACAATTTTTGGGCGTGTTGTTAGCACAGCTGGTGTTGTGAACTGTGCGACCTTCCAACCATAAAACACCTTGAACTGTCGCTATTATTGTAACTCTATGAGAGACTCGAAAATGCATCCTGTTGTCTTACTGTTCGAATTTAAGGGGTGCTTTTGATTCTTCATGTGCAACCCGATACCAATGATGGCCTCCATCATTCATCCTTTAATGCAACAGTCCATATGTAAGAATAAAAGACAAGTCCCAGTCCCTGTGACAGAGTAGTTGTAAATCGGAGCTACCTACTCGGTAGGTTCCTATGAGACGACCGCCTTTGCGAGGCTTGGCATGCTCGGAATTGTATCAACCCGGCAGAATAATAAACTTAGCGGGCGATCATTGACACACGCGTCCAGCGCGATCATCAATATACAACTGCAAATTGCGCCTAGAATTCCGACATTTCTTCCATCAGTCCATCAGCCATCCTTTTTCTGAACACACGACCATGTATGGCGAACTGGGAAACAAACTGGTCCGCCGCGTCCTACTCCCCCAATTCCAATCCGCGCTAACAGCCCTCACAGGTCCAACACGCCAAACGCACGCAATCCCTCGTCCACCTCCCCCCCTACCAGACAGAACTAGTGCGCACCGTCGCCCGCGAAGTCCGCGATCTCGACCGTGACGTCGCCCGTCTCCTCGAGCCCTTCGGCGGCAGCTTCAACCCCTCCGCGGACCCGGCGATCGCCTGCGCCCTGCTAGTCGACCACATCTGCACGCGCCGCAACAAGCGCTGTCTCCTGGCGTATCACCGCGTGCGCACGGAGAAGCTCGAGGAGCTATGCTGGAATGGGGTTGATGTGCTGGAGCAGGAGCAGCCGAATGCAGAGGAAGGGGCGGCGGCGCATGGGGTGGTCAGCTCGCAGGCGGGGAACCATAGCTCGTTGAGTCCCGAGGAGGAGGAGTATTTCCGGCAGTATAGTGATATGCTGGCGGCGTATAAGGGGCAGTGGACGGATATTGATTTGACGGGGAGCTTGGAGCCGCCGAGGGATCTGTTTATCGATGTGAGGGTTTTGAAGGATGCGGGCGAGATTCAGACGGAGTATGGGTATGTTGTGCTTGTGTTGTCTGCCGGCTGGGCAATCCTTCTACATACATTGAGAGCAGAGCTGATGTGTGCTTACAGGGTTATCAATTTGACGAAGAACAGTCAGCTCTACGTTCGACAGGGCGATGTGGAACGGCTGATCGCGCAAGGGTTCCTGGAGCGACTGAGCTGATAGAAACTGGACGATGATGAAGGGTTGGCGATTTTGACGACTTGATGATACCCATTGTATATACGGTGCATTGAAACTTTCTTTCTAAGGATTGTCGTATAGTCTGTAGAGGGATTCCGATATGCGGAGTACGAGGCTTCAGTATGATTCCATGATGATCAGGCATAAAACAATTTTAGCCAGTTGATATTTGAAAGCAATGATTGCTGTCATATTCTATAGCTGACCGAAGCTATAACTAAGTACTGCGATTGTGGTCTGCTGGTATGTCCAAAGAAGCAAAGACACAGACTAAGCATGCATGCATATTCCGTCCGTGTGCATTGATCAACCACGGCGATCATACTACAGAGCACCTCATCAATTCAGATTGTTTCTGCCCAACTTTCAAGTTTCAACTCTTGCCCCCACAGCTCGAAGAGGCGATTACTCAATAATAATAACGACTTTATCCGTGCGGTCATCAATTCCAGGAACTACTCATAGTTCCTGATCCACAATTGCCAGAATCGGGTAAAGCGCCCCAGCGGAGACAATGATAACGGTCGGTGATAAAAAGACTCTTTTAGTCAACTCACGGACCTGGATTGATAACGCGGGCAGCTTCTGGGCTTGGAGCTTTGATATGGAATAACTCCTCCCAATGACACATGTTCGCTTTCAAGAACACTGTCAGTCATCCTCACCCCTTCTGATGCATCGGATTTTTGCAGGCCTTCTTCCTCTCAATTGTGTGGTAACTAAAGAACGCCAATTGCTCCTCGTGCCTTAACTCTTGCGTCATCCGGGATCCCAACCATTTCCTCCTCTGCGGCCGTTGGGGTGCGGCGCGCACACCGAGAAAGAAGCCTAGGCTTCTCGCTCTCAATTTATCCCCTCATTCCTCATCTCTATAAACGGATTGTGTGTGGCGCAGGCAGTAACGGTTTGGGTTCGCAATGGGCGTCATCGGACGTCGAGACCGCAGTGATTCTCGTGCGTCAGGATTTTTAGCCCGTCGTCCGTCTTTGATCAACACTCCTGCTCCAAGTGTGACAGAAATACCGATCGAGCGGGCCAATCATGGCAGTACTCCGGACACTTCAGGACTCGAGCCTTCTATCCACGGCGGGTCGAGCTTCAAGACTCCGACTAGGTCATTCTACCATCGGTCCTTCAAAGGTCCTCAGGGTACGATAATAGGAAATTCTGAGAGGGGTTTAATGTTCTAACCGGCTGTCTAGATCCGGCACACTATTCATCGGAGGGTCTGAGAGAACAAACAGCTGAATTAGCATCGTTAGCGCTGTCGCTTCCTCACAAACTGAGCTCTCTTCCGCGAAGCTTGGATATCTTTCAATCGAAACAACGGACTGATGTCGCCGCATCTTCCTCAAGCTACTCCAGCACTGCGGGGGAGCTAACCGTTGTTGAACCGGAACCGATCCCCGCTCCTGCCACCGGCTCCTCGGTATTGACCCAGATGATTCGGAGTCCTCCCTCTGGGTCGTTCGGGGATGAAACCGACCACTACGGAGGTAAGCTGAGCCCAAGCGGCGCGGCTGGTGTGGAAAACCCAAGGCTCATATTTAATGATGGCGAGGAAGAGAACACAAGTACGGAACGGACATCGTTGCTGAATAAGACGGCGCAATCTAAACCATTCCATGGATACGGGGTTGCGGACGATATTGAAAGGCAGGAGTTACTGAGAGAGCGCGAGTCGGGCGTACAACCTCATGCTCTAACGACAATCAGAAGCTGTCTTCGTCTGATAGCAAGCCCAAAGTCCTGGGACGGGCGAGCGGTATGGCAGCAGGGGGTGGTTTATCCCGTCAGCCTGCTACCTTCGGTGTTCCTCGGCCTACTGCTGAATATCCTCGATGCGCTCTCCTACGGGATGATCCTGTTTCCACTGGGAGAGCCTATCTTCTCTGAGTTGGGGTCAGACGGGATCTCGATGTTTTATGTCAGCACAGTCATTGCCCAGCTCGTCTTTTCATGCGGAGGGTCAATCTTCCGTGGTGGCATCGGGAGTGAAATGATTGAGGTTGTTCCGTTCTTCCACCAAATGGCCATGACAATTTTAGCTCGTGTTGGTGACGACAATCCGAAATCGGTCCTCGCAACAACTATCCTCGCATTCTCCGCCAGTTCGATTCTTACGGGGCTTGTCTTTTTCTTGATGGGAACGTGCAAGCTTGGTTCTCTCATTGGGTTCTTCCCGCGTCATATTCTGATTGGGTGCATTGGTGGTGTAGGATTCTTTCTGATGCTAACCGGGCTCGAGGTATCTGCCCGACTATCCGGCTCTCTCGAGCTTACCATACCAACCTTGCAGAAGCTTTTTCATGTGGATACATTGCCACTTTGGATGATACCCCTGTTACTTGCGATTGCTTTTCTTATTTTGAAGCGCTTTGTGCGGTCCAATTTCCTGGTCGGTGGTTATTTCATTGCGGTAACCGTGGTTTTTTATATCGTCAAATTCAGCGCGAGAGTGTCTATGGATACCTTGCGTAGCAGAGGATGGGTCTTTGACGCTCCATCGTCTTCCAACCMTTGGTATCACTTTTATACGCTCTATGGTGGGTTATCTCTTCAGGCTATTCCAATCGATCTTGACTTAACATCTTCTTCACAGATTTCTCGGCCGTCGACTGGTCCGCATTCGTTGATACAATTCCAGCGATGTTTGCATTGACGTTCTTCGGAGTTCTGCACGTCCCAATCAATGTACCGGCACTGGGTATATCGACTGGAGAGGACAATCTAAATGTTGACCGTGAGCTCATCGCTCATGGCATTACTAATGCACTGTCAGGTTTCGCAGGAAGCATACAGGTATGGTTCCGCAATTCAAGGGCACCGCTCGTTACATATGCTCATGCAATTCTAGAACTACCTTGTATACACTAACAGTCTTCTCTTCATTGCCAGCGGTGGCAATTCTCGACTGGCAGGTATCATGCTTGCCTTTGCTACAATGGGTATTCTTGTTGTTGGTCCCGTGATTATTGGATTTATTCCTGTCATGGTTGTCGGAGCTCTGATCTTCATGCTGGGCATTGAGCTTATGGAAGAAGCTTTGATCGACACGTGGGGGAAATTGCACCGACTCGAATACTTAACAGTAAGTAAGCCCTATCTCGTCAGTGAGCTGCATCCTGATTCGTACAGGTCGTCATTATCGTCGTCACCATGGGTGCCTGGGACTTTGTGGTTGGCATCTTTGTCGGAATTATCTTGGCCTGCGTGAGTTTTATAGTGCAAACCTCACGCAAATCAGCTGTCCGGGCTACCTTTTCTGGCAAGATTACGGGCTCGACTGTCAGGAGACCTCCCATCCAACAGCGATTCTTAAAAGAGGCAGGGCAGCAGACACTCATCATCAAGCTTGCAGGCTATCTATTCTTTGGGACGATAGTCAGCGTTGAAAGTACCATGCGCGGACTCATTGAAGAGGAAGCTTTCAACAGACGACCTATCCGGTTCCTCATCCTAGATTTCTCGCGAGTGTACGGGCTGGACTTTTCCGCGGCAGAGGCCTTCACGCGTATAAACCGGATTCTCCGGAAACGCAATGTGCAGATGACTATATCCGGGCTTGATACGACGAGTGAGGTTGGGAGGAGCCTTCAGAACGTTGGGCTTCTTGCAAGCGAGGGCGGCGTTGAGATTTTCAAGGACCTCAATTCGGCCCTTGAATTCTGCGAGAACGATTACCTCAAGGTCTTTTACAGCCATCGCGAGGCATTGATACGAAAGAAGAGCGGGACCCCGCCCCATCTTGAAG